GGGGGGGGGGGGGGGGGGAGGCTGAGTCTGAGGACAGAAGATTCTGGATGTACTGGAAGGAGGAATTCTGGGGTGTAACCATGTTGTCCTCGGTGTGCAGTGACAGAGCAGCGTCCCAACGTGACTGACTCACCGTGAGAGTCCCAGCCCCACGGGGCACACGGGGGGCCGGGACAGGAGCGGCCACCTGGCAGGCTGGGTACCTGCAGCCGCCTGCAGGTGAACCTGCAGGGCGTGGATTCCAGAAGGAGGGCTCTTCCCTTTGCACTGAGTACTTGGCCAAGCAGCGTGGGGTGGCGGGGGTCCCAGCTCTACAGACCCTCCGCTCAGCTCCCCCTGGGGTAGAGCCAGGGAGGGGCCCCTGCACCTTGACAGAATTCAGCATTTTTTAGCCTTATTTTTATTTTTCCAAGTTGGAGGCAGCTCGATGGTTATGGTTCAAAACAAAGACAGATGACTCAGCTTCCTGTGGAAGGGCTGCAGCCTTTTGGAAAAGGTATTTCTGTTCTAATGCTTCTCTCTTCTCGGCCCTCCAGGCAGCTCATCCAGGCTGCCTTGTTTTTTTTGATGGTCAAGTGTTCCCACAATGGGGCCAGGGACAACTGCCAGGCTCTGGGGGCCAGACTGCCTGAATCCCGGCCCTGCGCCTTACTCGCTCAGAGGTCCTGGACAAAATTAAACCCTCTCTGAGCCTGCATTTACTTAAGAATTCCTTGCAGGATCTCTGTACAAAGCAGTGGTCTCCTATGGAAAGGGTCCAGTCCGGTGCCTGGCACAAAAGAGGTGGACAATAAATAACAACACCCACCTATGCTGAGGTCCTACTGTGCCTGCCTTATCTCACTGAAGCCTCACACCTGCCTAGCCCAAGTTCCCATTTTACAGATGAGGAAACTGAGGTTCAAAGCAATGAGTTGACTTGAACTGCCATCTTCCCGTTCCTGAGAGTCAGGGCCCACATCCCAAGTCAACTGAGAACTGAATCTGTACAAGCTTTTCCTTTCCATCTGACTCTCTCAGCCAAGCGCACACCGGCCCCTCACTGTCTTTATCTGCAACATGGGCACATTATTCTGAGGTTGTTGAAATACTCTAGCCAAAGCTTAATAAAAATAATTCCATGAAGGGCTCAGACACCTTCAATAATAGCCTTCAATAACCCTCCTCTAAGACTAGGAGTCAACAAAATCTGAGCTCGTCATGTGCAACATCCCAAGGAGAGGCAAGGACCTGTTAGGAAAACCCCTTCACAAGTGTAGAGAAAACTGGAAAGCTGAGAAAGAGGTGTGAGTTCATGCAAATAAAAAGAACAGGACTTTAAAACGACCCACCATTCAAACGGCCACCCTGCACCACGACATTAACACGGGGTCTCTCAAACCTCTGTCCTGGAACTAATGTAAAAAACGAATCTTGTGCAGGTGAACACAAGGTAACCCAAGACAGCCAAAACCCAAGTTTCCATCCCCCTTCCCCTGCATCACCCCAATGCGTATAGGCTGACAGAGCAGGCTGAATAGTAACTGACTAATTTTTAGCCCCGTGATCACCAGGGTTGATTTCCATGGAACCTTCTTTTCACAGCACCGGGAACCTCTCAAGAGTAGTAATTGCCAAGTTCAATTTTAGCTCTGTCATACCCAACCATCAGTGCTAACTAAGGTGGCTGCTCCCTCACCAGGTAAGCTGGTAATGAAGTCGGCTTCGCTGCTTAATTTCACAATATTGTGATGCCGCCATCAGCACCTGGAAGTGCTGAGAAGCTACAAAGCTTCTTTGAGATGAAAACAATCTTGCCCCAGGGAAGTGACTGAAGCCATTTGCACCTCTAAAGTGCCCTGTCTGGATCCTCAAGCTCACTGGGATGTCGTGGTTGCTTAACCCCATGTGCTTCCTCGCCCGAAGCGCTGATCACCGAGGGGCCACGTCGCACACTTGAAGGTGCTCCGCGCCCTGCCTCCCTCCATCCTCTGCAGCTGACTCCCGTTTCCCTCTCTCCCTCCTCACAGCCCTCCCAGCATTCGAACTCCAGCTCACGTCTGATTGCACAGCCGGCCTCACCAAATGGGCCCTTGCTGGTCCTCCAACCCCACCGTGTGTACTCACCTGGGGGCTTATGCACCACGCCACGTGCCAGCCTCAATTTGTCAAAGTGCCCACTGGCCTTGGCATATGTCCTGTTATTAAACAGCTTCCACTCCCCGTACACAC